TCTGTTAAACATCATTTGGGAAATATTTAGAAACAGTACGTTGTTTGATGAAAACTACTTCATGCAGGTTGGAATGAGATAAACTACAAACACCAAAAACAGTCAAGAATCTGTGCATTTCTGAGAAAAGTCACAGGTATCTGGTCCATACAGCCACAACAACAGTTCTGTTTATTTTATTAAAAGCATTCAAATGGTTGCGTCAAAAAAAGACTGTCTGACATCTTTCTAAGTGAAAGGCCATGCAGTGTGTGGGCAAAAGCTGATGAATAGAGTGTATCTGAAATTCTAAGCCAATTCCGACTGCCAAGGTCATCTCAAACAGCCCTGCTTTGTGTTGTATTTAAAGCAAAAAAAAAACTTTCACCGAACTGAATATGCATGTTGAAGGTGACCATCAGAACAGAACAGACTAAACAAAATCACACGACACAGCCAAGCAACTGCGCATATTAGCATAAGATTTTGTGCCCTTTAAAACAAAGAAATAAAAATAAATAAATAAATAAATAAAATAAATCAAAATCACACTTTAGTAAAGGACTGCAAACAAAGCTTTCAACTTTTACTGTAGAAGGAGCAAACAGAACCTGATAACCGGCACAAAGCCTTTTGATCATTACATCTTATTTAACGGAGGATGACCTAAAGACATCAATCGTCCAGTAATTATCGGACCTTTTCCCAATTAAACGCTCCAGACTGCGCACAAAACCCCATATCTCTTCAGCTAAGCCCAGCAACACACAGCGGCATTTGACAGAGTAATCTTTTAACAAATCCCTCCCCAAACATTTTCACACTGGCTGTTTCCTAATTGATAAACCTCCACGGGGGTCTGTGCTATCATACGACACGGCCTAGCACAAATCCAGCAGTCACCGGCAGCTTTAAGAGTCAGTGTGTGTGTGTGTGTGAGGTGCTAACAGAGCCCACACGTTCTGCATTTGGAGCCAGATGAGAGAGAATGCAAAATGCTGCAAAAACCCAAAGGATGTTTTTAGTGAACCAACAACAACGCAAGGGAGAAAAGGTCGCTGACCTTCAGTCCTGTATTTACTGCATCAGCACAGCTGAGTTTATGAAACTGTTCATGAGAATTCAGTGAGAAAATAAGTAAGCAACTGCTATCCAGGAACAGATTTAGAATTATTACGCCAAAATGATACACTTTAGGCTAGCATTTAAGCCTGGTTTATACTTCTGCGTCAAGTGACCGGCGTAACCCACGGCGCATGCAACGCGTGTAGCTGTGCATTTATACTTCTGCACGCTGTCTCTGTTGGTCTGCATTAACACTTCCGAAACGCTAGTTGGCAGTGAGGTGTAAATGTTCCTCTGTGTCAAGTTCGCTGTTGTTTTGCTTTTCCTGAACACTTCCGGGATGTACAAGTGGCTCAAACTCGCTCATTTTGAAGCAGGAACCAGCGGACGTGCAACAACTTTAACTATGAGGTAAACACAAAACAAAACTTTCCATCCGGAGCTCCTTCACGGGACTCCACACTTGTAAACAATCGCTCCATCAGGCTCGCACCATTCACGCGGCTCTCGGTCCCGCCCAGACTCGTCAGCGCTACCAAGCCGACCAATCACAGAGCTTACGCTGCACGTCGTTGCGACGTGTAGTTACATTTTTTGAGAGGTGCACGTCAGCGAAGCCGACGGCCACGGCGAAGGGCTATGCGTCAGCACCGTAGCATACGCCGGCGTTTGACGCAGAAGTATAAATCAGCCTTTAGCAAAAGAGAAACAGAAGGCAGAAGTATAAATGCACGGTTACCTGAAAGGCATGTGCCATGGGTAAATATTAAGGTTGTCACGATCCTCCAAATCCTCGATTCGATTACATTTTTGATTCTAAAGGCACGATTCGATTTTCGATTATGAATAATTAATTAATTAATGACCAATTAATTATTTGTAGCCTACCGTTTAAACTACCTGACCTGGATGGTCTTTGTTTTACCCATAAACAAACCATACAGTAAATGAATAAAGGCAAGATACACACATAATTACCACCTGTCAATCATTTTTTTCTGCGGGACTCGTGAATAGGCAGTGATCTGTGTCGTTATAATGGCGTCGGTAAAAAAGACACACAACCAACAGGAACCAGCCAACAGTATCTGAGGTGTTCGCTAAAATGACTAAGTACAAGTGAGTGAAAGATTGAAGCAGTCCTCTGACTGCCTGGACCTGCTGTCTCGAGCGCATAGCTTTGTGGTCACGTGATGTGCCTTTTCAGAGGTAGAGGAAGGAGAGCTGCTCAGAAATGCTACACGCCACTGTGGATGTCAAATCGTTGTCGTTCTAAAATGCCATTTAAAAACAAAGACAGTGTAAACAGGGCCTGAGTGTGTACTTTTCGCGAGAGGATTTGCAACGGGGGCGGGCGGAGGATCGCGATGCCGGTGTTGTCTATCGGACAAACCGTACGTAATGCGTACATAGCAGAGCTTGCAAAACTGTGTTTTTTTTTTTTCAACAACACGAACGTTGTCAACATAACTCACTGGAAATCCAAAATGCTTTCACACCGCCAACTTTATTGAAAGAGGAGAGGGTTTAAGCTCTGTCGACGGGTCTCCTGCTTCTGCAGTTTAACAAGCACTTCAACAAGCCTGTTTTTTTCCCGCTTGGCAAGCCAAGCTGACGTGACATGGGGGCGTGGCAGCATGGACGATTCTATTTTTTGATTCGATAATCGAAATTGAGCATAAATTTTGATCGATTTCAATTAAAAATCTAAATCGTGACACCCCAAGTAAATATAATTCAGCCTCAAGTCTGACAGCTCAGCCCTTATCAGAAACACGTTCAGCTCTTAAAAAAATAGCACTTAACTAATTGTTTATCGACATTACCCATCTGCAAGTAATGACTGAGAAGGCAGCAAACTCATTTAAGTGTGCTCTACAAAAGCAGAAAGAGATATAAAGGAGCAGCTAAACTCTCATATCAAGCAAGAATTACACACCAACACACTGTTTATTCCACGTCAGCTGACAGACATCCACACAATCTTGGTCTTTACCCAGTGAGCTGCCCTCACTAACAAAAACAGGACCAAAAGTACCACGACATACTCTGAAGCAGTTTCAGAGCACGAGAAAAGAAACGTCTGTTGACTATTAAACATGGTACACTGATCAACTACTAACACACAGCTCTATAATGTCCGAAATATACTGTCTAGGTCAACAGCTCAGTGAATTTTGAGACACTAACATCAGGGAGCTGATCTACATTATACACAGAGCTGGATTAGTGATTCGTGTTGCCCGCTGTTGGGGATTTAAAGCTAAAACTGAATATGATTCCTGCATACAGGTTGTAAATCAATGTGCTGTGAAACAAGGATTGATTCTTCGATTTTTGAAATGCATCGCAATTTTCTTTGGAATCAATTCAGAGTTACAGACGACGCTCTGGGCTAGTTTTTAATAGCAGACTGCGATCTGCACTAGCATTTAACAGCAGATGGCGCTCTAGGTTAGTTTTTGACAACAGACAACGCTCTACGCTAGTTTTTAACAACAGACAGTGCTCTATGCAAGTTGTTAACAGCAGACGGCGCTCTATGCTAGTTTTTAACAACAGACAACGCTCTATGCTAGTTTTTGACAGCAAACGGCACTCTAGGCTAGTTTTTAACAACAGACGATGCTCGAGGCTAGCTTTTAACAAGAGACGAAGCTCTAGGCTAGTTTCTAACAGCAGACAGCACTCTAGGCTAGTTTTTAACAGCAGACGGTGCTCTCGGCTAGTTTCTAACAGCAGACGGCGCTCTAGGCTAGTTTTTAACAGCAGACGATGCTCTAGGCTAGTTTCTAACAACAGACGGCACTCTAGGCTAGTTTTTACCAAGAGACGGTGCTCTAGGTTCATTTTTAACAGCAGACGATGCTCTAGGCTAGTTTCTAACAACAGACGGCGCTCTAAGCTAGTTTTTAATAGCAGACGGTGGTCTAAGCTAGTTTAAAACAACAGAGGGTGCTCTGGGCTAGTTTTTAACAAGAGACGGTGCTCTAGGCTAGTTTTTTGCAAAAGATGGTGCTCTATGCTAGTTTTTAACAACAGACGACGCTCAAGGCTAGTTTTACACAACAGACGGCACTCTAGGCTAGTTTTTAACAACAGACAACGCTAGAGGCTAGTTTTTAACAAGAGACGGCGCTCTAGGCTAGTTTTTACCAAGAGACGGCGCTCTAGGCTAGTTTTTAATAAGAGACGGCGCTCTAGGCTAGTTTTTAACAAGAGACGGCGCTCTAGGCTAGTTTTTAACAAGAGACGCTGCTCTAGACTAGTTTTTAACAACAGATGGCGCTCTAGGCTAGTTTTTACCAAGAGACGGCGCTCTAGGCTAGTTTTTTAACAACAGACAGCACTCTAGACTAGTTTTTAACAAGAAACGGTGCTCTATGCTAGTTTTAACAAGAGACAGTGCTCTATGCTAGTTTTTAACAACAGACAGCGCTCTTGGCTAGTTTTTACCAAGAGACGGCGCTCTATACTAGTTTTTAACAAGAGATGGCGCTCTAGGCTATATTTTAACAGCAAACGACGCTCTATGCTAGTTTTTAACCACAGATGGCGCTCTAGATGGCGTTTTTAACAACAGACATCAATTAATTTAGTTGTTTTTTTGGCTGTTAGTTTTTTATGTGATCATATGCCAACAAACCTGTAGTGATTTCAATTAATTTCAATACAAGCAATTGTTGGTCTTCAAAAACAAAAGTGACAATAAAAAAGTTGTTAAAACAAAAAATAAATTTCAATATTTAATTTGGTGCTGTTGCAGAAGCTGAACCAAAAAGGCTGCAATAAGAAATATTTCACCTGTTTTTAACTATAAAAAGAAATCAGAAGTTAGGGATAGACATAAATAAAAGGAATCTGTCCTAAGATTTATTGGTCACACTTTACAATATGATTTTATAAGTTAACGTACTTACTAACATGAACCAAGTATGGACAATACTTGTGCAGCATTTATTAATCATAGTTCAATATTTACTAATACATTATTAAAATCCAAACTTATACTTGAGTTAATGCACACAAACTGACAACGAACAACTCTATCTCCCTTAACTAACCTCAACTAACATGAATAAACAGTGTGATGAATACCTTGTTCGCTCGTGTTAGTGAATACATCAACTATTAACTAATATTAACCAATACAGCCCTATTGTAAAGTGTTATTAAGGCGCATTACGCATGCACTGCACGCCTCTTTAACAAACCAGAGAATCAATCACAATTATCTATATCACAACTAATAACCATCAACCAATGTTTGGCGATCGTGACAACCTGTGCTCGTGATCGTTACCTGCGATGTGTCCATGATGGAGTTATATCAGCATAGATAATATTCATCGAAATATCCCACCGTATCTTCTTCCCAGTAGCATCCAAACAAGTTACACTATTTCATGCTAGGACACGTGAATAAAATGATAATCCCCGTCGCTTTAGGACGCAATCACCATCATCATCATCATCATCTAGATAGATCAACCAGCTAAGCAGTCTAGTATTAAAGAAGCCCGTGTAACAGGATCGGTTGCACAACAGGATCCAGCTGGTAGCATTAATAGGAGTAAGGTTATATATGCGCTGAAGAGATCAAAAAAGGCATTTAAACATTAAATGTTTGTGTGTTTCAAATCACGAAGCATGTGAATGTTAAAGACAGAGTATCCACTGGCCGAAGGGTTTGTTTTCACTGCCCATGGCCATGACGGACTCGCCGAATACAGACGCGTAAAACACCTGACATCGACACTTTTAAGATTAGCAACCGTCTCTAATCTCATATCCAACCACTGGTGCCTTTAGAGAAGCACAACACAGCTCTTAATACACGATTTTGCTTTAATACAGCACTGCTGGGTGTGTTTATCAGTTCATCTGAACGGTGACCGATCGCGTATTTCAACATTATATGAAAATACATTTCATAGTACATGCTGCAAAATAGACCAGAATTAGGAAGGTAAATCGATTTATTAACTTCTTACCTGTCTCCGGTAATTTTCCGCAGTTAAATCCAGAGTTCGGTGTCGATCAGTCTTGACTCCTGCTCAAACTGAATAAACTTTGCCCGCTTTTCCTTCTTCTTCTCCTCCTCGCAGGCTAACACTCTTGCTAACGGCGGCTAAAATATCCTCGCTCGCGCCGTCAGGAGCGATCTCCGATCCCGCGTCCTCTCGCCGCTATCTCTGGGCGAGGAGTTAAAGTGTTACCGCAGATGGCAGGTGTGGATATCCGCTGTTCCAGATTTCAGATAAAAGTTATCTCCATCCTCTCCCGTTCAGCGCCATCTTTCCCGCGGGGCACGCCGGGTAATCCTCAGGAATCCCGACGCGACGCGTTCGCTGCTCGTCCCGGAGTGCAGGAATGCTGGGATCATCAGGAGGAAAGAGCGATGATGATGATGACACTTATTTTTAACTGAGGAAACCTCGGGTCTACATGATGAGAAGTTAATACTAGCAGGAAGTGACACATATTCATATCCACAAACGTATTGTTATGGTGTGTATGAACGTTCATACTCATAATTTGTTCTCCCTCAAGTGGTTCCAAACCTTTACACATTCAATTCTCTGTTGACCCAGGTGAAAAAGAAGTGCTCTAAAATACATTACAAATGTACTTGAAATGTAGATAGTAGGTTTAAAGCACAATTAGCACAAATAACATACTTAAAGTGCATTCTAAATGTGTTGGTCTGTATTTTAATGTATTTATTATAAAGTAAACTACAGGTACATTTGTAAAAAAATATGCGTAATAGCATTATTTAAAAAAAATATGCTCGAACTCAAGCTTACTATTTATGCATTTTAATGTATTTACAGAGAACATATTGATTTTATTATGTCTTAAAGTATGTTTATGTGTACTTTGTATTAGAACTTTGTGAAACGGTGCCAATTTGAGTGTGTTTAAAGTATATGCATGTTATTTGTAATTGTTTTAGACATAATGAAACATATTTTAAATCATTAAATTCACTTTTATTTCTGTAGCGCTTTTACAATGTAAATTGTGTCAAAGCAGCTTCACATAGAAGATCATAGTAAATTGAAACGGTGTAGTTCATTTTTCAGAGTTAAAGTTCAGTTTAGCTCAGTTCAGGGTGGTTTAATAGTGACTACTGAGAGTCCAAACACTGAAGAGCAAATCCATCGATGCGCAGCTCTAAAGATCCCGAACCATGCAAGCCAGTGGCGACAGCGGTGAGGAAAAAACTTCACCAATTGGCGAAAGTGAAGGATTAAAAACCTCAAGAGAAACCAGGCCCAGTTGGGCACGACCATTTCTCCTCTGGCCAAACATCTTGTGCAGAGCTTCAGTCTAAGCGCTGTAGAAAGCTGGACCTCAGCAAAGACTTGTCTGTCCCTGGAGCATCACATGGAGAATCTCATGCTCTCCACTCCTGCATGACACCACAGCAGCTGCTCAGGATACGGCCTGGTCCAGGATAATGGAAACCTTGGGATCATCTCATCGCTGGTCTGGGATCGAATCAGTGGCGCTGCATAGTCTCTGAGGGCCTCAGGATGAGCATCCCCAGGTGGAAATAGAGAACAAAGAGAATAATTAGCGTAGCTGCTGTTCATAGTGTATATAAATAAGATGCAAAAACCTGTGTGGAGCACATTCATGTGTCATACCGCTTAGTGATGCACTGAGTGTATGCTTTGCTAAACAGATAGGTCTTATATCTAGTTTTGGATTGTGAGCGTGTGTCTGAGCCTGGGACCTGTATCTGGAAGACTATTCCAGAGTTTAGGAGCCATAAATGAAAAGGCTCGACCTCCTTTACTTGACTTTGCTATTCTAGCAAAGGTTTAGAACTTTTTATAATTTTATCTAGCTCTTCCTGTTCTATGATTTTGAAGCACTGTAAATTATTTTGATTCAATGTTTACTGGATCCAAAGTATAAGGCGGTGCAGAAAGATTAACATCTTCTATTTTCTGTCTGAAGCCTTCTATTTTATCACTGAAAAAATTCGTGAAGTCATCACTGCACCTATTCAGGTGAATTGGGTAAGCTAAAATTGTCCGTAGTGTACAGTATGTGTGTGAATGAGAATGCATGGGTGTTTCCCAGTGATAGGTTGCAGCTGGAAGGGCATACGCTGCGTAAAACATATGCTGGATAAGTTGGCGGTTCATTCCTCTATGGCGACCCCAGATTTAAAAATTCACCTATAGTGCATGTGTTTGGACTGTCAGGACAACATGCAAACTCCACACAGAAATGCCAACTGATTGCTAATTGTGTGTACAGAATTGTGTGATCCTTAAGCAAAGTGTTTTAATACATTGAATATGGTTCTAATTCTGGCTGTTAAGATGTTATTATATTGAATGACATTTGAATGGGTGTCCTGTCATGGTAAAAAAAAAGTGTATTAGCCATTTTAATATATATATATATATATTCAACATGCATTCTAATGCAACACAGAAATAAAAGCTATGAACACGTTTAATGCTTTAATGCTTGAAAATCCCTTCCATCTTTGACTTGCATATATAAAAAATATTCTTCATATTATCCATTTAACATGCATACAGAGAGAGGGGGGGGGGCATTCAAACAGAGTAGCATTTAAATAGAGGCCTATAAACCCAATATGTACAGTAGTTGTGAGAAACTGAGCAGCAGATGGCAGTGAAGGGTGGCGCTGTATCTCTCTGCTGAGGGGCTTCTGTATGCGGGATGTTTGTGTAGTTAATTGTGTCATCAATGAGACTGAGCTGACATCTGGCCAGAAGTCATTGAGAAAAAAGAAACCCTGACTCACTGGTTCCAGCATGCAGATTATGCTGACAGCTAAAGGGACAGATCACCTAAAGCTGAACATTTTGCCAATTTTTCACCCTTGGCTTGTCAAATCAGTTTTAATTTAATTGAATTATTCATTCATTTATTAATTTTCTTGTCGGCTTAGTCCCTTTATTAATCCAGGGTCACCACAGCGGAATGAACCGCCAACTTATCCAGCACATTTTTTGCCCTTCCAGCCGCAACCCATCTCTGGGAAATAATTTAATTTGATTTATTTAATTAAATTGTATTCTATTTTAGTTATTTACTTACGTATTTACTTATTTATTTTAGATATTAAGATATCTTGAAGAATGTTGTAAACTGGTAAGCATTGACTATTTGTTTAACATGCTATGAATGCCATAGTTACAGGTTTCCAACATTCTTCAAAATAGCTTCTTTTGTGTTCAACAGAACAAGAAAACCCAAACTTTGGAACAAGCCAAGGGTGAGTTTATCCTGACAGAATCTTTAGTTTTGCGTGAACTCCCATTTTGAATCCATTCAGTTGATCTCCAGAGCATTTTTTAGCTTAGCTTAGCATAGATCATTGAATTGGATTAGACCATTAGCATGTGGCTCAGAAATGATCAAAGAGTTTTTCCTATTTAAATTCCTAGTTATGTTTTTTAATTTAATTTAATTTAATTATTTATTTTAGATATTAAGATATTTTGAAGAATATTGTAAACTGGTTAGCATTGATTATTTGTTTTTCATGTTATAAATGCCAATGGTTACAGGTTTACAACATTCTGCAAAATAGCTTCTTTTGTGTTCAACAGAACAAAAAAAAAACAAACTTTAGAACAAGACAAGGGTGAGTAAATCCTGACAGAATCTTTCGTTTTGCGTGAACTCCCATTTTGAATCCATTCAGTTGATCTCCAAAGCATTTTATTTTATTTTATTATTTATTTTAGATATTAAGATATTTTGAAGAATGTTGTAAACTGGTTAGCATTGACTATTTGTTTTTCATGTTATAAATGCCAATGGTTACAGGTTTACAACATTCTGCAAAATACTTTTCGGTGTCTGCTATAATGTTAATGTAGTTTTTGTGTGTTTACATAGATGAATAGAGCCACTGTGTAAATTTGCAGTACAGTTACAATCTTATTGCCACGTTATATCGTTATGATAACATAATATTGTTGCCTTCAGTGATTTACTGAAGATAAATACCAAAAAATAACTCAACTGGAATAACTACAGCAGTCACGATCGTCAATCTCATATGAAGCAAGAGATTGCGATGACATATGATGACGTGTGCAGGTGTTGTAGTGCTGTCCCATTTCTTAGGGGTAAATTTTGAAGCCCTTCCCCTTCACACTCTGTTTCAAGGGCCAAGCGGAGGGGGAAGGGGTACAAAAATAGAATTGGATTGGGCCAAAGTGATCTAACTTCTCCTTTTCCGCAATCCTCCATCCATAGAGTCACACCAGTACACAGACCTCCATCTTCTTTCTCCCATGTTACTAAATAAAAGCAACTTTTTTTTTTGCCTCACACTGTTCGAGTCTAACAGAGCATTTAAAGGAAAAATCGATTCTCTGAAGCAACACATCCGTCCATGAGGTGCAGTTGTCTCAGTTGTTTTCCCCAGATGTGAAGCCCTTCATCTGACAGGTATAGCGTCAGCGCTCAGGTGAATACTAATGCTGGAGCGCTCGGTCACAGCTGACCTCAGAACAGCCAGCACAAAGCCTTTGCTTTTAAAAGGGGTCGTGGTCCACTCGCCCCAGATCTCCCGCCGGCTCGTGACGAGGAACTGGGGAGGCAAACATTTACATTTCAAGCAAAGGGACTTCAATGACATCAAACCACCAGCCAGCCCCGTGTGATTCATTTCTCCAGCACCTGCGGACTTGTGTGGTCATGAAGCGGTCAGAGAGAGCCTACATTGTGAAAAAAATCTGTAAAATTTATGGTAAAAAAGGCAGCTCTGGTTGGCTGAATGAGGTATATGCACATAGACTTTTAATTTTCAGTCTGCCAGCCCAGACGCTTTCAGTGATCTGTCTATCCATTACAAAATTGACACTTGTTAGATCTGATTTCTTTAAAAATCTGTGATCTTCACTGCCTGATAGATATACGATATAAAGTAGGTCTCAGACCAGACAAGAAGCACTCCATTAAATGAAAATTTTTCCATGCCATGTCCTTAAAATATGAACATTTATTTTTTTAGTATTTTCAATGGAGTTTTTGCGCTAAAATGCAGCTACTGATGACGTTTGTGTCTGTCATCTTGTTTTGCACTTGAACAGCTTAATTAATGCTTAAGTCTATTTAACTGATTGTATTTTAACTACATTAAAACATCGATGCTGTAAAAGGAATCTTATGGAATTAAAAATAGTCACATTATCCTTTTACCGGAAGTTTATCGTTGGCTGGAAAGCAGTAGCTATGCATAGAGCCCATTTTACCATTAATAATATGGTAGGAGCATAATTTACAATAAATAACCTATTATGGTAATTCAATAGCAAACCTTGAGAGCTTGCAAATCTATACGTGAGAACTTGTGATAGTAACATTAGAAGTAAAAGTTATTCGCCCTCCTGGGAATTTCTTTTACTTTTTTAAATATTTCCCAAATCATGTTTAACCAAGCAAGGAATTTTTCCAGTAATATTTTTTATTCTGGAGAAAGTCTTATTTGTTTTATTTCAGCT